TGCAGCAGGGGCTATTTGGTTATTTGTTAGTTGTTGTTTTCTTAAAGTAGGGTCCAGGGGGGCAGCTAGGTGGCACAGTGGATAAAACACTGACCGTGGAGTCAGGAGGACCTGAGTTCAAATCTGGTCTCAGACCAGACACTTGACACATACTAGCTGTGTGACCCTGCGCAAGTCACTTAACCCCAATTGCCTCACTAAAAATAAAAAATAAGAAAATAATAAAGTAGGGTCTACTTTTGGGTGAGACACTCTTCTTATAACTTAATCTTGACTTCTAACCATTATCAATAGCATAAAAACCATACCTTCTTTTAAGAAACGGGTTTCCCCACTCCTTTGTTATCTTTGAATTATGTAATTTGTGTATAATCCCTGACCGTTCATCCAGCTCCACTTTTTATTCTTTCAAAGCTGGTGAAATGGCAACAAGTCATCTCCACTCTCTTTTAGTCATTTTGTGGCTTCTTTGTGGTGCTCTTTTCATAGTGTACCCACCTTACCATTCCACCTTTAAACCTCCTGGTAGGCAGGCCCTGATAGCCAACTCCAGCATATGTTTAGGAAAAACAAGCATGTTTTAGTAGCATTATGATCAGAATATAAATGGTAAGTCTAAAAAAAAGATTATTTTCATGAAGTCATAATTTAATATTCATTTATTTATCCATTCAAAAGGTATTTCCTGAGCACTTACTTTGGGCAAGGGCCACTGCTAGGTGCTATGGAGGTTACAAAGGAGCATAAGATTAGACCCTCCCTACTGGGGACTATCAATAAGAAGTATATTAATAACTGCTACAAGATGAAATTAGTGTATTCAGAAAAGATGTAGAAAGAAAGTGTTATGGGAGTGGAGAGGAAAGAGTGATCACTTCCTGCAGGAAGGATTGGGAAAGGATTCCTGCAGGAAGTGACGTTTCACCTGAGCCAGTGAGGGTAGGTAGAAACTGGACAGGCAGAATGTGTATTATTTGAGCCTCTGTTTTTTTGGCTCCTTTGCAGTGACTTAGGACAGCATAAGTATGTTATTGTCTTGATTTATGTTCTGTGTAGGCAGATCTGTAAATAAGAGCTGACATTTAGCTGCTCTGTTTTCCTGGGTGTGAGGAGAGGGTACAGCCATTGTCCTGGGCTATATAAGGCCCCATCGTTGCCCTGTGAGATCCCTAAGTCCTTTCCCTGCCCCAGGCCAAGCCAACACTGCTTCCTTTATTTCCTTAGAACACTGAGAGTATTCTCTATAAGACAAAACCTCATGATACAGTGGAAAGAGCCCTGTACTTCGATTCAGGAGACCTGGGCCTCACCCAGGTCTGCCATTTGTTAGCTATGTGAATGGGTAAGTCTTTCAACTTCTGGGGCACTTGATGCAGAGTCAGGAAGACTTACGTTCCAGTCCCACCTAAGGTACTTACTAGCTATGTCACCTTGAGTTGTTTCTCAGCTTCAGTTTCCCCCCCACATTTGTAAAATGAGGAGGTTAGGCCTGATAGCTTCTAAGGCCCCTTCCAGTTCGAAATCTGTGCTCTTATAATCGTCTGTAAAATGCTTGCATGACCCACTTCCAAGAGTTGTTGTGAGGATTTTCCCTAGGCCAGAGCTGTAAAAGTCACAAGCAATCCTGGGTTACAAACCACAAGCAAAACTTCTGAGTGGGACCTGAACCAGATTAAAATATAATTGGGAAATTTTTTAACAAAATAAATTAATAATGCAATACAACCTAGATAATGTTAATTTGTATTTTTCTAAATCAGTGTGCAGCTTGCAGGACTCTATTTCTACTATTGCTCTAGATCATGTAGTAATGAATATGTTAAATTTTGCTTTAAAACATTGTACAAATATAAAGTGCCCCTGTCCTTCTTAGCTTTCTCTCCTCACTCCTCTTTTGTCCCTCCCACAAGTTGAAATTGAGTTCTTGCATACACAGTAGCCAGTCCCCAAAGAGGTCCCTAGCAAGTATTTCCTGCTGTCCATTTTCAGAGAGAGAGACTGGATCCCTGAGAGATAGCTGAGGAAGGAGAGAATCAGTTGGAAAGCCAGAAACTGAACCTGGAATTGTAAAGTCCCCAGTGAGGCCCCAGTTACGCAGGGTGTGTCCCCCCCCCTCGGACAGGCAGTATTGGTCTTGGCATATGTTCCAACCTGTTTTCTTACTAGTCATCCTCTGGCAGAGGAAAGCCAAACCTGTTGTGTGTTTCTTGAGGCATTGAAATTGAGGACAAAGTGGTCTCTTCCCTTTGAGGGAGAAGTCACCTCCATGCTACTTTGCATGGATGGAACCTCCCTGCCCAACATCCTCTGGTAAACTCATCCAACCAGTACAGCCTTTATGAGACACCTCATGGGTGGATTATGTCTGGCTTCCTGAAGGACAGCTTTGCCAGGCCTATGGCTTGTGCCAGTAGCTCATGCAGAAGAACCAGGGGTGGGTCTTGTTAGCCAAGCATGGGCAGCAAGGCAGATACAATGTGGGGGTAGGAAGGAAATGGCACAAATGGGTTGGAAAGCTCCCTTGTGCTGCTTTTGCTTCTGTAGTCAGTCAGTGTATTTACACCGCAGGGAGCAATCCACATTCCTGTTGTTCATTCTTTATTCTTGACACCAGCTTCTGGAATTCTGTCACTGTCACAGGGCAAAGGAAGAGATGGTTTGGTAGCAATAGAAGGACCTGTGTGGGAGCCAGACTCCGTGAGCCCATGGCAGTCTTGGAATTCCTCAAGTGCTTTCCCTTGGAGGCCTCTCTGTAATTTGCCCAAACACTTCTCTGGGGAAGGCTTTGGGAGGGCTGGTCTCATGTGTGCTCACATCATTAAGTCTAGTGTGTCTGTATCCCAGTTGGTCAAGCAGCTGGGGCCTTTAGAACATCTAAAAGATTAGGAAGAAGCGGTGTCACAAGGGTCAACAAAAGCTTTGCTCCAGATACTAGGGGTATGAATCACTCCCTCCCTTTTCAGACGACTGGAGGGTTTAGTAAGAAGGTAGGAGTCAGATCTGAATTTAAGGGATCTAACTTTTGTTAGCCTTTTTACTATGGCTTCTGGACATGTTCCTGTGGCGCTGTGAACATGTTACTTACTGGGGGCTAGCTATTCTCAGGAGGTTCAGCTAAACTGGACAGGAATGAACTGGTTATATTGGGGCATCCTACAGGGAGGAAAAGAGATGGAGAAAGAATGGGGGGAAGGGGAATAAAGAAGTAGGAATGGACAGAGTTCCCAACCTTCTGCCTCTCTAAAGAGAAACCAGAATTCCACTTGTTATAATGATGATGATGTTAACTGACATTTATGTAGCATGTTAAGGCTTGCAAATTGCTTTATATACTTTATTTTTACATCTTATTTTAGGCTTGGCTTATAGTATAATCAAATCAACTATTAACTTTTGGAATTTTTTAATGTAATTGTCTATTCTTTCTTCTCTTTTACTTGATCAAATTCCTACAGATCTTTCCCTGTCCTTCATTTATTATTCCTTACTTTCTTGCTTCTTGTCTGTCTCTATTTGACTTCCTTTCACTCTCAGCCCTCACGGAGTCTTTAGTCTGACCTGAAAGGGAAGAAACTTTTCCTACCTCTCTACCCCCAGCCCCCCACCCCAGGAGAGGAGGGACTGGTTTTTTGCCTTTCTTTGTATTCCCTGAGCTTAGCACTGTTCGGGACACTTGGGAAGTGCTTAATAAGTCTTTGTTGATTAACTGATGCTCAGGACAACTCTGAGAGATAAGTAAGCTAGTCAGTCAACAAGCATTTATTTAAAATTTGCTCTGTTCTTAATCTTGGGGATACAAAGAAAGAGAAAAATGTCCCCTTTGCTCCAGGAGCTTATATTCTAATGAGAGAAACAGCAGGTAAATAACTAGGTACCTACAAGTAATGTACTATCCTTGTGTGGATTGGAAGGTCAGTCATTTCAAAAGGGAAGTCACTAACAGCTGGGTAGACTGGGAAGGGCCTCTTAGAGGAGAGATGGGATCTTAGTCTTTCGGGAAGCTAGGTGGAGCAAGAGGTGGAGGTCAGAAGGGAGAGTAGTCCAAGCATGTCACACAACCAGTGTAAAGGCAAGAGTTGGAGCGTCTGTGGGAGGAACTTCCAGTAGGTCAGAGGAGCTGGCCCCTGGAGTACAAGGAAGGGAGTAAGGTATGAAAAGACAATAAATGATAGGAAGGGGCCAAGTGTAAGTGTCGGGGCTTTCTTTATATTTGATCCCAAGTGTAATAGGAATCCTCTGAAGTTTATTGAGTGGTAGGATATCATAATTAGACCTATACTTTAGGAGAATCACCTTTTTAGCTGAATGGATGTTGGATTGGGATGTGGAGAGACCTGAGGCAGGGAGACCAATTTGAAGGCTGTTGTAATGGTCCAGAAGAGAAGTGATGAAAGCCCTGAATTACGGTGGTGGTTATGTGCTTAGAGGGAAAGGGACTAGAGGTGGTATTATTCTCCCCATCATGCAGATGAGAAAACTGATGCTCAGAGAGTTTATGTGACTCATCTCAGGTGGAATTTGAACCCACATCTCTCTAGATGCCAAGTCTTGTGCTTTTTCACTAAGTCATGCTGCCGGTACAGAAAAAGAACACAGGTTGATGTATAGTGTGTGAAAATACAGATGAATTCTTTTGCATATGACAATAGCCCCACTCTAGACTCTAGAATTCAACCATCATTTATTAAAAACATACCATATGCAAAGCATAATGGTAAGTGTTGAGTGAAGTACAAAAGTTATTATGACCTGGCTCTTGCCCTCCTGAATCTTAGTAGAGGAACTTAGAATCTAGTGAAATAGATAGAGGTAGGTGATACAGAGCCTTCTAGCTCTGGAGATGATCTGGTAAGTGCTTAGTGGGTATGCTTGGTACATACCAAGCACTGTACAAAGTGCTGAGGATACGAAAAGTGGCAAAAGATAGTGCCTGCCCTCAAGCAGTTTGCAATCCAACGGAAGAGACAACATGCAAACAAATATTTACAAAGAAAGCTATATTCAGGATAAATAGGAAATAATTAAAGACAGAAAGTATTAGAATTAAGAGGGGTTAGGGAAGGCTTCTTGTGGAAGGAGGGATTTTAGTTAAGATAGATGTTCAGATTCATTTGCTTGTCCAGTTGTACAAAGGCTGCTGCCTCTGAGAGGCTTTGGTCAGTTTCTGTTGACCAGGAAGTTGGTGGTAAATAGGAGAAAAAACAACTTGGTTCTTGGCCCGAGCAGATGCAGCATAGTGAACAAGCAGTCTGCCAGAAATGCAGGAGCTTCCTTTCCTGCATGGAAGGTCTGTGGTAGTCTTCTTCATTGGAAGAGGCATGGCTTGTGGGACCGGCTTTATCAGCATCGACCAAGTTGATTTAGAGAGCCTTTTTCCGAGGAAGAATGAAATAGTTACTAACTTGTGGGTTGACTTGAGAATACAGCTTTCTCCATCTGAATATTTATAAATCCAGCTTTCCCCTAACCCAAGTTGAAAAAGACTACAAAGCATTTTTTAAATTAAATGGCACAGCAGAATACGAAGAGGCAATCAATCAACAAGCATTTATTTAAAACTTGATTTGGGCTTAGCTTTGTGCTTAAAGCTTGGGGATATAAAGAAAGGAAAAAAAGGCCCTGTGCTCAAGGAACTTATATTCTAATGAGGGGAAACAGCAGGTAAATAACTAGGTATCTACAAATTATATACAGAGAAGATGGAGGGCAATGTAGGCGAAAGTGTTCTGGGTTCTAATCCCTGCTCTGCCATGACCTTGAACCAGTCACTTTCTCTGTCTAGGTCTGTTTCCTCATCTGTAAAATGAAGGGGCTGAGCTAGATAACCTCTAAAGCCTTATGAAACTCTATTAAACACTATTTGTGGAACATTGACCTTGGCACAGAAGAGCAGAATTCTACCAGACACCTAAGACCAGATGAAAAATAATATCCCATGCGTGTTATGAAGACCTAGCAAGTCTCTCAGATGTGCATATTAATTGATTTCTGCAATGCAGATTCCTCTTGGATTCAACTTGTTCTGAATAAGAAGAGGACATCAGTGAGATTAACAAATCCATTATTATCACTGAAAATCGGCTGCTGTGTAAGAGCCATTTAATAAAATGTTTTTTTTTTTAAAAAAGGCCTTTTCTAAAGAGGAAGAGAGAGACCAGAATAGGAGTCAAGTGCAGCTGTTGGAACCTCTGCCAAGCAGCCTGATCTCACCATTAGAAAACTGAAGTAAAAAACTCCCATTTTCTGTGATCTCAGATGAACACCCTCCTTTCCTCTCCCTCTCCCCAGAATCCCATGGCCCTTCTTTCCCCTTTCCCATTTCCCCCTCCCATGTCCTAGGCACCTGATTTGTTTAAGTGCATCCTGGTCCTGGATTGGAGCTGTCAGCCAGCATGGGTGAATGGGATCTGGCAGACTACTTCTCTGGCAGATCATTACGTCACTCTTTTTAGACCCAAATTTATCTCTATGCATACAGACTGGCTGCAATCTAACTGCAGGCTGGGTTTGAAAGGGCTCACATGAGCAGTTAGGGATGTCTGATTCATGGACTGGATGCTGTTTTTTTTCCACTGCCCTGAGCTTTTTGGGCATGGGGAGGAGTGAAGGGTGGGGTGGGAGGGGTGGAGTGGTCTGTGTGTGTTTGAGTGCATATTTGGATGTGAAGGTTGGGTTAGTACCCGGAGGTGAAAAATAAGGCAGAAACATTATTATTGTTATGTTTCTTATTCTGGAACTTTGATCTTTCTTCCAAAGCCCCATACCATTTCTACCCTTGATTAAGTCTGTCATTGATTAATTCAGTGCACTTGCAGAAAATTGTTCTCCACACTAACCACTTGTTGGACAAGTCACTTGGGAAAGTCATCTAATCTGTTTGTAATGTCTCCACTCCTGGTTCCATTCATGAAACAGACATGCTGTTTATTGGTCCTGAATAGTTGATAACTATTATTGGCAGTCTGCACTTTGGAAACTGTAGAGAGCCCAAACCCCTGAAACATAAAGCTTTTCACATTTTACTCCATGTAAAACTGACATTTCGGGTTGTTGGATCACTTGGCTTGGTACAAGTATGGTTTCCATCTTCAGATGAGACACTTGTACAAAGACTCCTCCAAGAAACAATGTCATGACAGGATAGGGCTGATAGCAGGGAAGCCTGGGAGCCTTTCATCTACAAGAGGACTCCCCTCTTGTCCTTGGCTTTCCCATCTACTGTATGGAACACATAATGTACCCTGCTCCATCATAAGAACATCAGAAGGGCCACATGTGGTCCTTTCCATGGTCTCTTCCCAGTAGGATTGTGTTCTGTTCAGGGTACATGGGATAGAGGACAGGTAATTGAGGTGGTTGCACCAGGCCTAGCACTCTAAAAGTGGGGTGGGGTGCATGCTGCCCACATCTGGGCAGTGACTTAAGTAGGGCAGCCACATGAGGAGAAGGTGGCTTCTCCAACTGGCACTAATTACCAGAGGCTCATTCAGGGACATATAATCAACCTACAAGTTTTCCATGCCCCTCTGTCTTGCCATACACTCCTTAGATTAAGAGCCTACTACGCGTAGAGTGATGCACTGCCAAACAGCTGGGTATGAAAAGATAGGTAAGCTAGGTCTCTGCCCAGAGGTAACTCAGGGTCTAGTGTGGGGAGATAACACACACACACACACACACACACACACACACACACACACACACTCACATATAAATATGCTTGACACTTTGATACTTGTCATAAATGTAATACAAAGCTGGCTTTTAGAGCCTTCTCTTACAAGGCTGTCCTCACCCATATAAAACTGTTTTCCCCAGTGAACACATAGTGTAATTTGCCCCACCCATATTGCTGGCAACTTGGCCCTAAAGGGGGTCAAGATTGTCCTTTTTGTTGAGCCTCAGGGGCCAAGGACATTACCCCCAACACCGCAGCTCCCTAATACCTATCTTGAACTTATTTATATTTATAACCTGATACACTTTTCTGGGTATCATTACTCCCTGCTGTGGAAAGTAGTATTTTCTTTCCGTTGTCCCCAAACTGTGTATCATAAGTTCCTGGGGCTACTTCTTGGAGGAAGCAAAGCAGTTTGGGATCTGTAGAATAAAGGTGTTTTGTAAATAGATAAGATGAAATTGCATCCTAATAGTTTCTCACTCCAAATAGCTGACCTCTGCAAACTAACTTTTTTTTCCCCCTTAGAAGTAAGCTGTAGAGCATTCCTTTTAGGTAATTCTGCCCCATACTGACCTCCCTCTGCCTTCCTTCTTGATGATAGTTGTTACTGACACATGATGGGAAAACCCAGATCAGAGAGTATGGAGCTACCAGCTGAGAAAGCAAAACCATTCAAGGTCTTTTTCTTTCTTTTTTAAAGAAAAAAAATGTCTTCTGTGGTTTATGAACACATCTGTATTTTAGGGACCATATATTTAGTTCTTAAATGTGGTGCCAAATATAATATTTAAAAGCAATGGCAAAAGTTTGCAACCCTATTAACTCATTGGAGATCACTCTCACTGTATACTCATTGTGTGGTGTAAATAGTAGAAAAAGTATCGGCCCTGGAATTGAGAAGTATGGGTTCTGGTCCCAGCTCTGCCCTGAGCTCATTGTTCTACTGAAGCCAAGGCACTACCCATCTATTGAGCCTCAATTTCCTTATTTACAAGGAGTTGATCTCTAAGGTTCCTTCTAGAGCATCAGCTCCAGACATTCCAGGACATTCCAGAACACAGAGAAGGGGAAGTGACTCCCTCAAAAAGCAGATTGTCATTTTTGGTGCCTCCTAGAATCTGCAGCCATGACCCTTTTCCCCTTCCTTCCCCCCGCCCCATATTTTAAACAGATGTTTATACTATGACTAAAGGTGGTTGTGGAGGCTGGTGGCCTCCATTTAATATGGTCTCTATTACTATCCAAGAGGTGATTAGTTTCAAATATGCTTGCATTTGAAAGGACAGGTACCTACTGGTCATAACTCTGGGCCTTTTGTTTACTGTTAGCCGATCTGGTTAGTTTAGATCCTAGAAATCTTTTTTTTTTTTTTGGCTAGGCAGTGGGGTTAAGTGACTTGCCCAGGGTCACATAGCTAGTAAGTGCAAGTAAGTGTAATTAAGTCCTCCTGAGTCAGTGCTCTATCCACTGTACCACCTAGCTGCCCCCCTACAAATCTTTAAAAATGGGATTAGAAACCACCAATCTAGTACTGGCCTTGGAATTAGGAGGATCTGAGCTCAAATTTGACCTCAGATACATAACACTCACTAGCTGTGTGACCCTGGGCAAGTCACTTAAGCCTCAAAGAAAGAAAGAAAGAAAGAAAGACAGACAGACAGACACAAACTACCAATCTGAGATAGATTGGGTGGAAGCCTACCCAAAGCTAGGAGCTCTTGAAGTCCCTTCCACTTTTGGATTGTTAGTTTTGTGAGTATTTTCAGCTTTCAGAAGGCATTTTTGTCTGTTTGCTCAGTTATATCACAGCAATTTTGTACAGATTTATCTATTTCATGGATGAAGAAACTGGAGTCCTAGAGAAGTTAGGGAAATTGACCAATGACTCATCATTAGTTAGTGGCACAGCAGAAAGACCTAGACCTTTTCTGATGTACCAAACCTCATTTCACCCCTTCTGTAGGGCAGGCCACTCCTAGGAACCTTGAAGGATAGGGAGAAATACCTTGGCCTCCCACCTTTGGCCACTGAACTCATTGTTTAGTGAATCCACTCATTCCTCCTAAATTTACCAAAGAACAACAAGAAGTCTCCTCCCTAAAGAGCAAAGTTGTTGCAGGATAAGTATTTGGTAAATAACATCTTTGTTTTTTGGTGAATCAAGATATTATTGGTACTCCTTTCATTGATAGAGATTATGACTTATCCATGCACTCTTATCCTGTCCATGTACCTTTGTAAATTTTCCGTAGTGGACACACACTTCATGTGTCAAGGGCTTTCCTTTAGTTCTCTTAGCAGTGGATAATTTGTTTATTTTTTTTAGTTTTTTTTTCCTTTTTTATTAATCTATTTTGATTTATCAACAATCACTTCTATAAGCTTTTGAGTTTTAAATTTTTTCTCTCCCTCCTTTCCCTCCTCCCTCCCCAAGATAGCATACAATCTGATATAGGCTATACATTCCCATTAAACATATTTTCACGTTAGTGATGTTGTAAGGAAGAAATAGAACCAATAGGAGGCACTATCAGAAAGAGGAAACAAAATAAAACAGAAGAAAAAAATAGCAAATAGTGTGCTTCAATCTGCATTCAAACTCCATAGTTCCTTGTTTGGATGTGGATAGCATTTTCCATCATGAGATCTTTGGAGATGTCTTAGATCCTTGCATTGCTGAGATGGGCTAAGTCTATCAATGTTAGTCCTCGCACAGTGTGGCTGTTAATGTGTACAACGTTCTCCTGGTTCTGCTCACTTTACTCAGCATCAGTCCATACAAGTCTTTCCAGGTTTTTCTGAAGTCTGCCTGCTCATCATTTCTTATACTACAATAGTATTCCATTACATTCATATAACACAAATTGTTCAGCCATTCTCCAGTTGATGGGCATTCTCTCAATTTCCAGTTCTTTGCAAGTGGATAATTTGGAGCATGAGTTCTTACCACATGGTCAGCCCATGTTCTTTTCTAGTTGTGTATCTGATGCCTTCTTTCATATGACTTCTCTTGTGTAGTTCTTCACTGGTAATACAGTATATAAAATCTTCTGTTTGGCATTCAAAACTCTTTATTATCTGCCCTCCACCCACTCCCACCCTTTACCTTTCTACTCTTCTTACACTTTATACCCCCACCACATACACTACCATGTAGTGATGCCAGCTTTCTTGCTCTTCCTTGAACAAGACATTCTATCTCCAGTGTATTTTACCTGGCTGTCCCCTATGCCTGTAATGCTGTCTCCTTACCTCTACCTCCTGGCTTCCTTGGCTTTCTTCATATCCTGACTAAAATCCCACCTCCACAGGAAGCTTATCACAGCCTCTCGATTCTAATGCCTTCCCTCTGCTGATTATTTCCAATTTAGCCTGTATATAGCTTGTTTGCGCATAGTTATTTGCATATTGTCTCCCTTATTAGATTGTAAGTTCCTCTAGAACAGGGATTGCCTTTTACCTTTCTTTGTATCCCCAGTGCTTAGCACAGTGCCCAGCACATACTGAATGCTTATTAACTGACTACTCATACCTATCATTGTCCTTTGGGTGAGCCCTAATTTCAGTTCTTTCAGAAGCTGCCATATTTTATAATTTCCAGGCATACAGCATCATCAGAAGAATATTTTTGTTCAAAAATATGGGCCTTTATTTTAGGAAAGATTTTGGAGTTATCAAAAATACTGAATAGTTTCCCAAAAGCAATATAGCTCCTCCTGCCCAGTTTGGGCATAGCTCATTGTCCATTTAAAGTATCTGTTTAGTATATATGAGGCCATATTTATTCTTTGTAATTCTGTAACTTTCAATCATTTTATGTTTTTTCCCCATATACATTGTTGTAGCCTTGTATATATTGTTTTCTTGGCTCTGCTTACTTCACTCTGCATTAGTTCATGTAAATCTTCTTACACTTCTCTGTATTCATCATACTTCTCATTTCTTACAACATAGTAATTATTCCATTACATTCATGTACCACAGTTTATTTAGCCATTCCCAATCAATGGATATCTACTTTGTCATCCAATATATATGGACAGGTAGAAGAGTTTTACTGGTTGTCCACCCACCTGCTTATCATATTTTAGAAAATAAGCATTCTTCATCTATTTGGTCATTCCAGTGTTACATTAAGGCAAAATCTTTTGAATGATATTAGATCTCATTTCAGGAGCTCTGCAGTGTTCTGGGACCAGATGACAATTTCATCTTATGGAAACAATTTCTTTTTCTATTTGGACTCTATACTGAGTATTCTCCTTGATACTGGCAAGCCCCCTTGGCAAACATAAATCTCCATTTTATTCTTGAATATAGTCTTGTAATGAAATTTTCCCTGTTATTAACATCTTTGAAGGAATCTTGTATGATTTTGGCATGCGCATGGTAAAACTTCTTGTTAGAGAAGAGACATTAAGGCATCCTTTTACTCTACTAAATGAAATGCTTTTTTGGTACTCAAAATTGGTAGTGTCATATATTCTCTATGCTTTTCAGTTATGTGACTTGAAACTTGTAGTCCACTGGACAATAGTGTTTGAAAAAGCCTGGTCCCTTCCCATTCTTGCATCATGGATTCTGTTGATGCATGTGGAGATTATTTTCAGAAACAAATTCCAGAAATGGGAAGGTAGTACATGATATGACAAAAACTTTGAAAGCTTTAAGAAAGATGATTATTACAATGTCTATTCATCATTCCAGAGGACGAATAATGATACATACTATCTCCTGACCAGAAGGAGATAGATTTGGGGTACAGAATGACACATATTTTTGTAGACAGCAAATTAGGGAATTTTTCTTGACTATGCGTATGTTATAAGGACTTTGCTTTTTTTCCTCTTTTTTCAATGGAATTGGAGAGTAGAATGGAGATAAAATAGGTTTCAATTAATTTAAAAAACAATTTAAAATAGATGAGGGTGTTACAGATGTGAAATATTGCATATAGTTTCAGATGAGGCCACTGTATTATTATTTTTGCTTCATTGTCTTACTTTGTTGCAAGACACTGGTCACAGAGTGGAGGTAATCTGGCAATGTTTGTAATATAAAAACAAAACACATCACTAAAACAAACAGAAAAGGGAAAGCAGTTATTAACTGTATCAGTAGTTATTAAAAAAAAGTTATCTTTTTTTTGCTGAGTAAGATCCAAGATTTTTTCTCATCCTTTAGTATGCTTCCCTCATTCATATTCTTTAATAATCAATCCCTCAACACCCTCAAGATTTCATCACATCTGGCACAGAATTCCTTTTCCTTTAATCTGCTTTTCTCATCTTGTTTTCTTTAAAGTTATTTGCATATTCCCATCCCCACCCCCCTACTTTTTACATCTTTTTCTATAAATAGTAATGAAATCTATACTACCATTCTGGAAAGAGATTAGCAGTGGACTCCCTCTATGGTGCCATCATTCCTGTGATTCCCCAGAAAAAAATAACATTTATATAGCATTTTAAAGTTTGCAAAGCACTTTACAAACTATCTCATTTATCCCAATGACCCTGGAAGGTGGGTGCTATTGTTATATCCATTTTTTAGTTGAGGAAACTGAGGCAGAGGTTGTGACTTTTCCAAGGTCACATAGCTAATGTCTGAGGCAGGATATGAACTCAGATCTTCCAGGCTCTCAGTTCAGAGCTTTGTATTCTCCTATATGTATTGTCTCCCTATTAGAATGTAAGGTCCTTGGCGTCAGGGACTGTTTTACTTTTGTCTTTGTATCCTCAGCTGATGTTTTATAAATGCTTTTTCATTCATTCATTCATTTTCTTCCTTATGCAGCATATTGGGTCTCCATTGTCATTGATGAAAAAATTTTTTTATAAAAATTGTTTCCATTTTTTCACCTGAAACAGTTGAAACTTGCCCTCCTCATTTCAACCTTAAATTAACTTAGAATGATTGTTTAGTTGGATCTTTTATAAAATTTTCTATTAACTTGCTTTTTCTAATTCTCACTCTTTATAGGTGATACTCCTCACAATCTTCCACTATCCTCATCTGTAAGACCTCATAAACAATTTTACACTCTAAATCAGCATTGCCTTTGGCTTCCATATGTCTCTGCTAAGCATGTGTTTGCTGACTGACATGTTTTCTAGGTTCTTGTCTCTGTGACAATTTATCTACTTGGATTAAACTTTCTTAGGAAATGGTAAGACAGTGTTGATATCTGTTCTTTTTATCCATTATCTATATTTTGCCAATAGCTAAAAAAAAAGTCAAGTTGTAGTTGTCTCAATTACACACATATTCTCTTCTAATTTTTTTTAGTTTGGTATTGATTTTGTTCTTCAGTAAGCTAATAGCCTAATTCAGCTGATTCAGAAAATAACTTCCACATCAGTTAGCAGTCCTTTCCTGTTTGTTAAAATATAATTAGTTTCATATTTAATGACTATATTTTGTGTTCACCATGTCCAACGTCGCTTGCATCTTCTCAAAGTGTTCGTTATATATAGGCATGAGACTTCTGTATAGTCTACAATGATGTTTCTTATTTCTAAACCATTTTCCCCCAAAATTTTTTTTCTGCCTTTCCATATGCCCCCTTTTCCTTTCTGAGCCAATCTACCTAGCATTTGTTAAGTGCCTACTACTTTCAAAGCACTGTGCACAAAAATGATATTTAAAAAAAAGGCCTTGCCCTTAATGTTGTTATATTCCACCTTTATAATGAGGTTACTGAATAATGTAGAGACTGATTCAATTTTAAGCATTTTATCAATTTTTATATAACCTCATCTTCTATAATTGATGTTGGTACATAAACTTCAATTATCTTCAGGGCTGTCTTCTTGAAAATGCTTATCGTGAGCATTACAGTATGAAACAATTAAATGATATTTCTTGTTACCCTGTAATGCACAATAAAACCCAAATCTACTGCCTTCTTTAATCACCTCTTCAAAACCTCAGTGCTTTCCTTCTATTTAAATGTACCTTCTTTTTGTCTTCTGGTTTTATTTATAGCAAGATTGTCAGCATTGCCAAGACTCAGTTGCTAAGGTAGTACATCAGCTTGTTGGTCACTAGAGAAGGATTTTATGTTTAGGTTACCAGCAACTAAGTTAATTTTTATGGATGTGATCTAAAAAACGGCATGATTCTTAGCACCCTCAGCTCCCCTTTCTGCCTCTGCCACCATCACTCTAAAATAAGAAGGGGATCTGGATAGATCTGAGTCATTTTTTTTTCACATGACTTAATGGACAGCCTACTGGTAAAAAGTTTCTCCTCACTTCCCTAAGCTAAAGTAGACATAGTTTGATGCTGTATCCCATACTGGAAGCCTTTCCAGGATGGTAGTCAGCCAGGGTTTGCTCTCTGTTAGCATAATCTTTGAAAACCCAGAATCATCGCCACTACAGGATGTGACAAAGAGTAGGACTTTGTGGGAGAAAATATGCATTATTTAAACAACAAACAAACACTATTATTACAAGCCTTTCCCAAACATGGGTAAAATGTAAAAGTAACCAGAAGAAAGCTGATAGCATTTTGGGTAGATACTCTGTGGAGGATTCATGGAAAAGAATGGCTAAGAATTGCGTCAAGATGGAATACCTGAAAGAATGAGTGGTTTGCACAACACGAATGAAGTCGCGGATCCAAGTGTCAGGTTGGACTCCCAGGCAGAACTACATTTCCAAGGGGCCGCCGGAGAAACCTTTTCAGACACAAGCGCACCAAGACAGAGTGGGCACTACGTTGCCCGGCGTACACTTTGGGCATGGGCCGAGGGGAAACTACATTACCCAGGGGGCAGTGGAAGAGGCGGGGAGGGGGCGGGCCCAGGGCCCGATACTCCCTCCCTCCTCCGCCCGTGCTCTTGCCCGGGAGGTAAACAAACTGTGCAGCCGACCTGACAGCCACCGGGGTCGGCGCGGAGCGGGGCTGGGGGGGGGGGGGGAAGCCGGGCGGGGAGGCAGCCTCGGCCGGAGCGGGGGGGCTGTGCTGGGGCCGGGGGTGCTCGGGCTTCCCCGCCGCCCCTCGCATGCCCCGAGGCGGTGAGTAGCCAGCCGTGGGCGCCGCCGCTGCTCCGGGAAGGGACGGGGGCGAGGAGAGAGGTCGCCTCCGGCTCTGGGTCCCCCCGGCCAAGCTCATGGAGCGGGTGCGGATGATCAACGTGCAGCGCTTGCTGGAGGCCGCCGAGTTCCTCGAGCGCAGGGAGAGAGGTAACAGTCACGGGGCAGTGGGGAGGGGAGGGCACGAGGAGTGGGGGAGGGGCCGGGGGTCACGGGGAGGGAGAGTGGGAAGGGGGGAGACCGCGAGATGGGGAGAAGTGTATGGAAAGGGAAAGGGGACCATGAGATGAGGGATAGTGGAAAAAGGCGGATATAGGATACCAGATGGGGAGGGAGAGGACCATGGGCTGAGGGAGAGTGGAAGAATGGGGATATGGAACCACGGGATGGGGAGAGAGGGGACCACAGGCTGGGGAGGTGGAGGACCATAGGCTGACGGATGGTGGAAGAATGTGGAAAGGGGATCATGGTATGGGAAGAGGGGGTTGAGGGGGCCAGGGAACCATGGGATGGGGAATAGTGGAAGAAATGGAACAGAGGACCAAGAGATGGGGAGAGAGGGAACTGTGGGATGAAGGATAATGGAAGAGAGGACCACAGGATGGGGGAGGCCTTGTGGAAAAAAGGGAATGTTAAATACCAAATGGATAGGAAGAAAGGAGACCGTGAGTTGGGAAGGGTTAAATGGAGGGGAGGGGAGACTAGGAAAGAGAGGGAGAGGACCACAGGATTGGGAGGGGGGGTGGAAGAATGGACGTATGGGGACCATAGCTGGAGAGGGACAAGGACTTCCAGATGGGACGGTGGAAGAAGGGGAAGTGAAGACCTCAGGATGGAGAGGGAGGGGACAGCCTTGTGGGGAGAGTGGAAAAAAGGAAAAGAGAGGAACCTAAGATTGGGGAGGGGAAGGAACCATTGAATGGAGGAAAAGAGTAAGGGGAAAGAGAGCCTCTCTTGTTTTTTTTGTTTTCATTTTATTTTGCTTAGTACCTAATACAATCCATTTCATATAGTAACTGGTGGTTAATAGATCTTTGTTGGTGCATGAATGTATGTTTGGAGTGCACAAAAGGAGATCTGGGAATGGGGTTTTTGAGGGTGAGGGAGAGGCAGAAATTGGAATTCCTAGGAGTTTGGGTACTTGAAAGTTAAAGGTAGGGGAGTTAAGGTTATGAGGGGAGAAAAGGGACCCTTAGTGGTAAGGGGTAAGGGGGTGGTACAGTGGGTGTATGTGGATAAAGAGGGAGAACATGTGCTTGTGATAGGGAAAGAAATTTTTCAATTGAACAGACATGTTTTAAGTGCCTAATATATGTTAAACATTGTCTAGGTTCTGGGGATCCACCACATACAACAAGGGTGTACAGTGTAATTATTTTATGTACTGCTGTAGTGTGAGTTGGAATGTCATTTTCATCTTTTTCTGTTTCAACAGCCAATTGCCAGGAAGAGAGCTCTTGGCCCTGTGGATTCAGGTGCACCCCTCTTTATCCTTCTATCTTCTGTCTTGTGCAGAGTGTGAACATGGCTATGCCTCAGCCTTCCCTTCTGTGCCAAGTCCTCGAATGCAACACTCAAAGCCACCACGGAGACTGAGCCGGGCACAGAAGCACAGCAGTGGGAGCAGCAATACCAGCACTGCCAACAGGTACCATTCTGAGAATCCCAGACAAAGGAGCTGGAGAGGACAAGCTGAGGCAGCAGTGCCACGTCCTCTGAATTCAGTTCTGTTCAAACACCAAACCTAGAGGCCTATCAAGGGAAGCAAGAGGTGGGAGTTTGGTCCTCTAACAAAAAAAAAAGCAGTCAGAAACGGAAAGCCCATAGTGTAGCTTGGTGAGGATACAAGGTAACAGAAACAGTGTGACCTTAGGAATTCTTGCTGGGATTATTCAAAGGGAGGTCACAGGCCTAAGAAAATAATGTATCCAAGAGAATTGGCCTATGTGTACATGCATGCACATAGCTGCAAGTAGTAATCTTGTATCTGACTGTCATTCACTCTAGTTTTCAGGGACGAGAGTCCAAAAAACCAAAAATATCCCTAGCAAGATAGAAAACAGGAAAATGTTTTGTTGTCAAGTAATAAGAAAAAATTTAGGTAAAACAAGAAATAGAGCTTATTGGGAGGGAAGGGACAGGGAATGGGAGAGGGAAAAGCATATCATAGAAGTATAGTTTCTTATTTAATAATAAACAAGATTGGATTGTGTTGTAACCAAGACAGAAGACCCTTAAAGCAAAAAAAAAAACTTTTGAAAGGAGCTGCTTGTCTTTCAAGCGGAACAAATCCCTCCAAAATGTCTGTCTGGGTGTACTCAGACATAGTTGGCTTCCATTTTTGAAAACTTTTTGGCAGAGTCTGGCTGCCTCTTCAGAGTTTTGTTCCTGGGAACCAGTGATTTTCAAGGATTCACCTTGGAGCTCTTTCTTTTATTTTTTCTTTTCCTGGATGCTTCCTTCTAAGATTCTCTGTTCCCTTTCCTCTCTCTCTCTCTCTCTCTCTCTCTCTCACACACACACACACACACACACACATCTTGCTTTTCCCATTGATAAGAGAAAAACTGAGTAGAATTGCCTCATTGGCTCTTAAAGTATCATCTATAGAATAATGTGAGGCATTCAGATTTGACTGTGCAAAACCATCCCTAGATTCACACAACTTAGCCCTATGTTTTGGAAGGGACTGTAAGCCAGATGGTTGGTCATTGACTACAGTAGTCAGCTTTTGAGGGAAAAGGAGGTGCTTCCTTCTTATTGATGCTTTAAAAAATCGGACTGTATGTATTTATACATATGTGTATATATGACTTACTAAGGAAGAGAATGGATTTTAAGCTATCTATAGCTACAGAGTATAGATATGATCAAAGCAAAATGTATACTATTCTCTCCTACAACACATTCTTCTCAGGCTACATGTTGCCTTTTTGCAATTCCTTTTCCCGCTTATGGCTGCTGTATTCATTTTACTTGCTTTTCTCTGAAAAGGTGTTTGAGGTGGGAGAAACACAGTATGTTTTAGCTAGGGTGTTTAACCACCCTGGTGATGACCCTGGACCTTGCTTCTCTTTTGGACATATGGATTGGGGAAAATTTCGTTTGGTGCTGAAAATTTTCGTATTCCCTTTAGCCTGAAACTTTGGAGTCACAAACTACATGAGGGCCTTTGTATAGTACTTCCATGAAAACTGAGGTCCTTCCATTAATAACCTGAGAGGATACACACATTTTAGTTGTGTAAAACTAATAATTGCTTTCAAGGTAAGAAAGAAATATGGGTAGGTATGAATTGACCTGATGTCTTTGTATATTTAGTTGTCGATGACAAAGGTGTGCTCATCACATTATGTAAGGGCTGAAATGAGAATTTATTTGGGGTCTGGAAGACCTGAGTTCAAATGTGACCTCAGATACTTCTTAGCTGTATGATCTAGGCAAGTCATTTAACTCTGTCTCATTTTCCTTATCTGTAAAATAAGGATAATAACAATACCTGCCCCCTGAATTGTTGCAAAGTATCAAATTGGGTAATATTTGTAAAGTGTTTAGCAAGCCTTAAATTGCTATAAAATGCTAGCCATTTTTTATCATAGAGGCTACATCATTTTGATTATTTTCTTCCGGTCAACATATTTAAATCCTCATACTATTTAGGAACTCATGTTGCTTTCAAGAATTTAATGCATTTTAAAAATTGTGTTATATGGTATAGTTTAGGAGTTCTTCACCTTTTTGTGTTATGGACTCTGTGGGTGACAGTCTGGTGAAGTCTGTAGACCCCCTTTAAAAATAATATTTTAATTTTCCTCCAGTTACATGTAAAAACAATTTGTAACATGTATTTTTTTTTTAAGTTTTGAGTTCTAAATTCTATCCCTCTTTTCCGTGCCCTCCCCCCCTTCCTGAAATGGTAAGCAATCTGATATAGGTTATACATGTGCAGTCATGTAAAACATTTCCATATTAGTTGATTTGTGCAAGAAGACTTTAAAAAAAAGTGAAAAATAGTATGCTTCAGTCTTTATTCAGACAACATCAGTTTAGTTCCCTGTTCAGAATCATATTTTTAAAATGCACAAAATAAAATGCACAAAAAAAATCCTTGTATAGTTACAAGGTAAATCAGTTCCACTGAAATATAGTTATCAAAATATTTTAAAACAACAAAACAGGTTCACTGACACAACATTAAGAACCCCTGGATAATGGAAAGAGTAATGGACTGGGAGTCAAAGATTTGGCTTCTTTTTAGTTCATTAATTGGTTCTATTAGTATATTTCATATTTATTAAGTGCCTATATGTGCCAGGCACTGGATACAAAAACAAATGAACCAGAGTTCTTGTCCTCAAAAAGCTTACATTCTATTAAAGGGGATACAATGTTTATATAGATGAGTAAATAGAAGATAATTTGAAGAAAGGGAAAGAACTAACAACTAGGGAGGATAAGGAAAGATTCCTATAGGAAGTGGCACATGAGTCCAGTGTAGTTGTTAAGTAGCTGCCGGCATTGCCATTAATTACATAGCCTTGGTGAAAGAATTTCATCTCCCTGGGCCTCAGTTTACTAATTTGTAAGATAAGGGTTTCAGACTTTTTTAGGGCCTCTTTCAGCTCTACAAATGTATGATTCTGTGACTTACTGGCAACTGAGAAGATACAAGTTAGTATGTCAGAGATCTAGAATTATAGCAGTAAGTTCATATTTGGCATTTCCATTAATATTTGAATGGTGTGTTCCACCTGATAATAGGGGGATTGAATAAAAATATGCTGTTATAATTTACTAATAATACTGGAAGACTTTATCTGAGAAGTCCATTATTGTTTACTTTGAACATTTTGCTTAGCCTGGATTTTTGACTGAATAGTTTTTCTCTGTTCTGGGGATTCTGATAATTATAATAATAATGATGATTCACATTTACACAGCACTTTCAGATTTACAAAGCTGCTAGACCTGTAGATTTGTGTATGGGCCCATAATGTTTTCATTATCTGTTTTGACCCAAGCCTTTTGCAATTTGTTTGAAAACACAAGCATTTTATTGTTGTTGTTGTGATTATTAATT